CTATATATTTCAAAAATTTCTATCACAATCTATTAAAAAAATCTATTTTAATTCTTATCAAACATCCTCTAGTTGTCTCTTTTTGATTGTTTATTTCGACTAATGAAAAAATAACAACAAAATAGACTAATAACAACTTTCTATAGCTCAACGGGCTCGGGCCTGACTTGGTTCATTTAACTGGCGGCAGGGAACCCTACTTTTTAAAATAGCTTGGTCAAACAACCAAATTTTTATTTTGACCATTTTTTTTTTTTGTATTCACCACATTGGCCTATTGCCATTAAAAAGACAATTCTACCCTTATTCATGTTTAATAATTACAAAAGTATATCAATTGTTTAAAAGATAATAATACCCTTAATAGTTTAAATAAATTCTGTTACTTCCATACGTAAATTTCAAAATCAGTTTTGGTTTATCAGTTTCTCCAATACAGTAAAAAAGATTTTTTTCCTTCCATCTGCTAAAATATTGAAATCTCCCAAAATTATCAAAGGTTCAAGAAAGAAACAATACTCACAGTCGGCACTGAAAATTGGTAAGTGTAAATACGTATTTTGAATTTTGTTTTAGTTAAGTTTACTGTTTGAATCTGTAAATAATTATTTTGAGAAAGGCAGATGAATTTTACAGTATTTAAACACAGATTTATAATTTTTTTATAGCAAAAACAACAAAAGAAATTCATCTCTGTATGCATATATTTTACAGGAAAAATTTATAGGTGTCTGTAAAATAAATATTTAAACATTATTTCGTTGAAAAAGGGAAAAAATAAAAAATTAGAGCGTAAATTTCAGATGAAACGGACGAAAAAAGTTGGGCCAAATGTTTCCAGCCGGCCCAGTTGTCGGGGCCGGATGGAAACAGTCGGCCCGGTTATCTGGGCCGGCTGGAAACAGCCGGCTGTTCCCAAACAGCCGGCCCAGCCCCCTTTTTTTTTTTTGCAGATTTTAAAATTTATTTGTTCATTAATATATGTTTATTGAAATAAATATTAATGAATATTTAAATATTAATTGAAATAAATATTTTTGAAA